AATTATCAATAATTAAAAATAATATATTTATTTATCTTGAATTTAAATATAATAAATATATTTAAAAATATTTATTTTATAATTTTTAAATATAATTTATATATTCAAATATAATATTTATTTATATATAATTTATTATAAAGTTTAGTTATATATAATAAACATTTAGCTTGTGTAATATACAAGTTAAGATATTAGTAGAACCTTAATTTTTTTTTTCTTTTTTAAAACATATGATTTTAATTTTTCAGATTTTTATAATGTTCAATGTTATCAAATTTAAATATGTAATTGTATTAAATATTTCGAGAGAGTATTTTGTCATTAAATATTTGTGGTCTAAAAAAATTAACTTTTTAAATTTTAAAAAAAAATATATGCAATATACATGAGATGCAACAATTATTATTAGTACTTCATTATTTAACTCGTTATTAGTTCGAGGTATTACTCCATTTTGTGCCAAGGTTAAGCTACTAATTAACATGGTATTGTGAATAACGTTCATTTGGTAGCTCTTGTCGTTATCGTAAGATCTGAAAATTGAGCAACACCTGCACGTGTACCCTGGACCATACAACAAAACAAAGAATCTCTCCGTTGAGCCGTTCCTAGTTTAAAGGGCACATACGGTTGGTTCGTTCTTTATTCACTCACTGAGTCACTGTTATTTGAACTCGTGACTGTTGGGAGTAACCAAACATGCCATAGCATCATAATTCATAACCTAATTGAATAGCTAATGGTATATAGTACAACAACCTTATTGGCTAACCCAATGTTTCAAAAACGTCAAGATTTTAAACAAACCCAATAATTAAAGCAACCTTCTTCGTTATCCTAAAGCCGCAAACACTCTTTTTCTTTCTCATAATGCAAATTAATTCTTCAGCAACAAATTCTCGTTTGCAAATCCCATAAAGACACCATCTTTACACTTTACCGGGATCTGGGTCTCTTTTTCTATTTTTCCCTTCCCCAAGACAAAGTGGACATTGTCTTCCACTTTAAAAATAGAGAGAGACTCTCTGATCTGTGACACTTAAGGGTTCTTCCTCAATCATTGTGCTTTACACAGTCAAATTCAGCGTCTATGATGTCATTCTGTAAATTTTTCTTCTTCTGTTAAAGGTGCTAGCTAGCTCTCTCACTCGAACTCTTTATTTATTTCAGCATCCAACAAGTGTTCCTATTCGTAACTTGTTCCAAGTTTTGGTTTTGTAATGAGGGTGTGGAGGGTTCACTCACCAGAGCAAAAGTTTCTTTGTCCTCATGGTGTTGTTTTGAGGTGGGTTTTGGTTTGGATGAGTGTTTGTTTTCTTGTGTTCACCGTTGGACCACCCTGTCGCTCGCGGTTGAAGAAGAGTGCATCTTCTACTCAATTTTCTTGTCCTCCATGTGATTGTTACTGCTCTTCAGAAGAGTATCTCCTCGATCCTTTGGGTGAGTTTCTTTTTTTGGTCACTATGCAGTGTAACAAATTTGGTCTTGAAGTGAAAAAAGGAAAAGCTTGATTAGATGTGATGATAAGAAGAAGACTAAAGTAACCTTGCGTGTGCTTGAAAATGGAAAATGATATGTGCATAGAAAAGAGTTCTCTCAATTAGTTAACATTTATTTGTTGCCTGTGCTGCGCTAGTCACAATCTGGAGTTGCAGAGGAACTGACTTCTGCACCTTGTACCATTTCTTTTTTGAAAAATAAAATAATCAGAAAATGCTTTTTTTAATGTACAAAGCCAAAATTTTCTTAATTTGGCTATTCAATTCATACATATTAGGCTTAGAGTTTCAATTGGCGATCTTGAAATCTTGGATCTATCTTTGGTCTTAAAAAGGGAAGAAGGAAGATGGGGCATTCAGTTCATCCGATATTAAGCCAACTGCGATGACTGTATTTTGTATTGCCACATATAGGATTAGTTTCAAGTTTTAGTTATCTTTGACATAAAATTGAGGAAACTTTTTTCTCTTAAAATCTTTGCATTTACTTCCTTAATGGATAGTTTTGTTTATGTAGCTACGTGTGCTTGTACAGCACTAATTATGTCTCGTGTTCACCTTCTTTAATACATTGCTTTATTTCTCAACCATGTTCATTTTTGCAGGACTTGTCAATGGCTCAATTTCTGGTAAGTCTATTATCTCTTCTGCTTTTCTGACTGTTGAAACGTTTCACAAAATAAACTGCTTTAAGCTAATATTTTGATGCATGTGAAGCTAAGGTTTTGATGGTTTAAGAAACTTTCAATCTTTTTGCTTCATTCGCAATTCTTATCGCAAATTCATGTAAAACCCATATCATTCTGTATGCTGAAAATGCTGATAAAAGTTCTGCATATTATGTTTGCAATCATGACAGAAAAAACCTTTTAATTTTTAATTGTAACTGCAGATTGCGGTAAACATGATCCGGTTTTGAATGAGGAAATGAATAAGAATCTACTGACAATGCTATCCGAGGAGCTAAATTTGCAGAAAATTGTGGCCAATGAAACATTGGAACACACGAAAAGGTTAATAATGGATGCCAGGAAAACCTTTTCACATTACCAAAGGGAAGCAGAGAAGTGCAACGTTGGGATGGAATCATGTGAACAAGCAAGGGAAAGGGCAGAGGCAGAACTCATTGAAGAACGAAGGCTTACAGCATTGTGGGAAAATCGAGCTCGTGAATTTGGATGGAATGACAGAAAAAGAACACACTTAAGGAGTTAACCCATCATTACATTTTGTTATGTCAATGCCTCATTCTAACATAGCTTTAATAGGCAATACACATGTCTCTTGTGATGATTTCAACCAGGTCAGCTATGCTATTTAAACAAGTTTAATGTTTTGGTGTTTTACATATAAGGAAGATAATTGCTTGATCCTTGTTTTATAAATACGGACAAATTTTAATAATATTTTAGGAAGATGAAATTTCAATTTTAATTGAAGAATGGCAAAATAATTACTGCACCTAAGTTAAGTTTTATTCTATAAATAACAGTCTCAAACTAATCACACTACACAGTTTTTTTAAATAAATTGACCACTACAGATAGACACAATTAATTAATGGACAATACTTAAATATAAAGCCAAAGATTTGACGTTATTCTACGATTAAAATCATAATTTTACCTTAATAATATGTATTGGTATTTAATGGAATTATGCATTATGCATATTACCAAAGTGAAAACTCAATTTTGTAGAATAACATTAACAATATATATAATAGTATTGCTTGTATGTTTTATTCATAATTGGTAAACCAATAAACCAAAGGCTTTTAATAAACAACCAAGTTAATACATTGAGTGTTGACATAAGATGTTTAGCATAAGTTGATCTCAAATCCAGAATTGATGAAAAATGGTACATTCATTTGGATCAAATATTATGGTGATCGGTGTATACATAAGTGATCACCTTAAAGTTACGAAAATAAATATTAATAATTATGACATTTCTTTTTATTAATAAAATGAGTTTCATGTCAGTCTCACTAATAAAGAGTACACTAAGGTTATTTAGTTCACATAAAATTTTCACCAACAAAAAATTATAAAAAAACACGTTGCTAACTTGCATTTCTTAGTTACAAATCCATTTAATTACTTTAATATGAACTCTACTCATTTGAAGATGGACCTTCCATCATGGAAAATTCCCTACTCAAACCATTTACTTACATTAATTCTCAAAACCACTAAACTCAAACTCATGCTAAAACAACTTATCATATTTTATTGCATAGAATAAAAAAGTTGTTGTGTACATTTTAGGAACCATTAACAGGTGTTACATAATTATATAAAATCTTATGGGAAAAAGAAAAAGAAACTAGGTGTCCTCTCTTTTAAAAAAGATATCATTAATATGTAAATCATCACTTATCTAATGTTTTGAATTGCCCGAATAACTAACGACCTTAGGTGTTGTTGGGTTCGTCAGTTAGGTATACACTATCTAACATCGGAAAACCCCATGGTACAGGTTCTCCATAAGATAAAGTAGATCCTATTGTACGCATCAAATAACCACTTTGCTTGTTGATGATAACCTTATCCTTGTTCCTACAAATTCCAATCCATGGATATCAAGTTTATGCAAATTTAAACTCAGATTTGTTATAGACATGTGCCTAAACAATGTACCTTAAATATGTGCTGAATATCCCAAGTTCTGAACTTGCACGTTCTTTAATCCAGAGACCATGATCCATGAAAACTGTTGAAGAAATAGTTGGAAATATCCTCTGCATAAGAAAATAAGCTGCATCTTCTATAGTTTTACGTTTCTGCCATCTTAGGAGAGTTTCCCTCACATCATAACCATAAATATTCTTTCCTGAAAGTAATTATTATAGTTCGTTAGATAGGTTTTGTTCCACTCTCTTTTATTTTTCAATAAAGTAGGTTGAATCAAAGTTTAGGTGGTACAAGACCTCCTTCTTTTCTTAGGGGTTTCATCATAAATAATTTAGGACTTTCAATCGCTTTTTCAACAATATCTGAGTCATCCAAACTCCACAACCCAGCAAAGCATTTACGCAGTTTGACAATGTCATCTTTGTTTTCAAGGAACCTGTTTATAGTTTTGATTCAAAGAATTAGTCATAGAACTACTTGTTTCCATAGATAATATCACTTTACATGAAACCTAACAATTGTGCATATATGCTTTTCTTTTAAACTTAGTATATTTGAATTGATCAACCACTTTCAATGCATAAAGGATGGAAGATACCTCTCAAGAACACCAGGCTTTGCAAGTTCCTGTTGAATCCTTTTGGAGCCAACCAAATGATAGGATATTGAAGGGCATTTGACAGCACAAGATCGTTCCATCAATAGCCTAGCCCTCCATTCCTACATATTGTGCAACATGTACCAACCAAAACCATAAGAACTCGAAGTTAAGCTAGATGGCTCACTAGCATTACAAGATAAAATAGGCGTAGCAGAAAACAATATTACGATTAAAAAAAATATATATATATTTAGAAAGGAGAAGGTCGAAAAGAGAAAAAGTAAATCAAATTGTGTAATTTTTAAACCAAAAATAAGTGCAGAGAAAGTCTTTACATTGTGATATCACGAAAAGGTGTCAATTTGGACTAACTCGGTTCATATAACCTTTCACATGCTAACACATTTTCATACCGGGTAAGTTGAACCAATTCAACATCAAACTAAAATTTTCCTAGTCCAATCCAGCCTTTTGGTGAAACATAAGCCAAACCGGTTCATTCATTGGTCAATCATTTTTTAAAAATATTAAATCATTACAAAAAAAATTAATTTTTATATCGCAAGTTATCATAACATTTTAATCTCTATAATAAACTAAAATAAAAAGTTACATATTGTTATTTGTATTATAAAATTGCAAATATAACCAATAATAATAGAAATAAAATAAAATATATAAATTAAAACAAAACTCAATATGCATTAAAAAAATAACCTTAAAATGGACATTAATAACACTTGTATTATTAAATTTATCATCTATGATTTTACCAATTATAAAAGTAAATAATAAAAATATAATTCCGCTTCAGTGGCTAGCTTAGCTCAGTCCATCAAACAACTTCGAGACAATTCATTTTGGGTCAGGCAAAAATAAGTTTAGGCCCAAATTTTCACAACCTACTCCAACCCATGTATGAGCCCATGTATTATGTCAATCGGCCTAGTCCATTGGACTAGAGCCATTTTAATACTCTAGTCAAGAAGAAGTAAAATCATGTGAAGTTGGCCAACTCAACCCATTTGGGTTGGTCCATCTCGAGCTGGAAAACTTTTTAGACAGGCTGGACTAATTTGATAGCAGGCTGAAATTTTTAGCCCAATCTAGATCTTGGTGGGTAGTAGACCAAGCCAGTCTATGGGTCAATCATTTTTTAAATAAAAATAATATTTAAGTATTATAGCCACTCATTTATGGACCAAACTATTTTTAGGACCCAAAGAAGATATTATTTATCTTCACGAAATTTTTTTATATTTGTAAGACCCAAAAAGCTAACAATAAAGCTGCGACTGTGCGACGGGGTCACACACTCAATGATCTACTTCTACTTGACTTTTATTTTTGGCAGTGAATGTATGTTAATTTACAAGGCTTATAGCATAGGCAAATAAATAGGTGCCTAATGAGTTAGAAAGGATGGTCTCTGGCCAGATTGACTTCACTTGATACGTGATCTATAACATCCATAGTTTTAAAAACCGGACCGGTCATCGAACCGGTTAAGGTACTGGGTCAGTGGGTCAAAGGTTGAACCGGTAGGTCACTAGTATATATATATCTTTTTTTTTATAAGTATACTTTCTTTATTTTTTAAAAAAAATTATAAAATATTCTAGTTTTTTTCTTCTAATTTACACCTCTAATAATTTGTTACTTTCTTCTTCTTTTTTACACTTTTTTTTTCTGTTTTACTTTTCACATGCTAGCAAAATAGGTGGGATGAAAGAAAGATAAGGAGGTGCATGTAAAAATTAAAAAAAGAAAGAAAGATGTGTGAAAAAAAGTAATAAATTAAATGTTGTGAATATAAAATTAAAAAATTAAAAATAAAAAAAAATTAAAATTTTAATTATTTTTTTAAATAGGAGGTATACTTATAAAAAAAAAGGTGTATATATCATGAACCAAAAACTATTGTTCGTAGGGCCCAAAACGCTAAGTATAAAGCTACGACGGGGTGGCTCACACACTCGATGATCTACTTCTACTTTACCTTATTTCAGAAATTGCACCAATTTTTTTTAATGAAAAAATATGAAATAGCATTCCTGGTCTAAATAGGTGCCTAATGAGTTACAAAAGATGGCCTCTGGCCAGATTGACTTCATTTCATAGGTACTCTATAACACCTTTTATCATGTAAATCCTAAAAGAAGTTTAGTTAGCAGATAGCTTAATTAAATATTAATTGACAATATAGTACCATTTCATAACACTGAGTGAGAGACACTCTTTCTGGTCATGCCAGATTCAGTGGCCTAACCTTCCAAATGCTCAAGTCAATAGAAAACGAAACAGATACTCACTGATTCTGAAGGATAGTCAACTGGTGTACAACCAGCCCGGAAATAAATTACCGAAACTGCTTCTCCATCCCTGCAAATGCCAACATATTATATTTTTCTACTCTTAAAAATCTCGAATGTGTGTCGATACAAATTTAAAAGAGTTTTTCCTACTTAAAAAAAAAAAGCCTTTTATTTTCAATAATAAAACTTAAAAAATCTACTAATTTTTGTATTCAAAAAGACTTGTAATATAATTAAGCCACAAACACATTGCTGGAAATTAGTTCTTTTATGGCCAAAGGCTACATACACAGAAAGTGTTCCATCTGGTAGAATTTCTCCTTGTTGATCAACTTCTGCCAACGTTTTCCGTATAGTTGTAATATTATACGTGTTATAACATTAAGGACAGCAACAACCCAAAAATGTGTACCAAATATTTAAAAACTACAGTAGTTTTCTTTACACAAACAAAAGCATTAAGCATTCCTTAAAATTCTCTGGTATCACATTTAATAGCATAAATTATAATACAAATAAATGGGTTTGCTATGCTATATGGGAATAAAATGAACGTTTTCCCTTTTGTATTGTAGTTAATAAATTAATAATTAATGATAAACATTAGAAAAGGATATCTGTCATTTAGAACTGTAGAAACTAAATACTGGTCATACATGTTTTGTTCTTCAGCCAGAACCACAATCATAATCACAGCCCTGCATGTGGATACATATTAGAAAATATAGCAGTGAACCAAAAGCAATAAGGGAATTATTTTTCTCTGAACTGACCTGGGGTTATTATACTCACTCCAAGCTTTAGCCAAGGCTTCTGCATACTGATCGAGAGCACCGTTTGCCGGAATCCTTTCAGAATCTAGTCCAAGCAATTTTCCATAGCGAGAAAGAATATATCTAGAAAATGACCAACAAATAAAAGATATTTGTTCGAAGGAAATTTTCTTAAAACGAAAATATATTATCGACACAGTTCATATGAATAACTTCAAGCATAGTTATCAGTCCTGTATAACAACACAAAGTGAACAGCCCCAAAACTGCTATTGCAGAACTACAGTTAGCTGTTAAATAAAAGTGCATAGATGCAAAATAAATAAATTTAAGTGTTAATTATTCATTTAGTTCCTGTACATTTCCAACTTTCTGTTTTATATTTTATACCTAAAAAATCTATATCCTAAATCTACAGATATAGGTGAAAAAAAGATAGAGAATAAAAATAAAATAGGAGAAAAAATAATAAATATAACAAAAGGTGGAAGAGAATTAAAAAGAAAGATGTGATAAAAGTGGGATTGAAGAACTTGGTAGAACTCACACACGTACAGTCCACAAACTCAACCAGACTTGTAGGTAAATAGAAAAGAAAGCCAGTTTTTGTTAACATATCTATCAACAATTAATGAGAGTTCACGTATTTAACGTACACAAAAGTCAAAAACTCATAGCTGCAATGAAACAAAGATCTCTCAAATCATCATAAGCTAGAGATGATAGCATATATAGCATGTGTAATTTACAGCAACCCTTACCTGTGAAGTTGTGTCACAAGACTACTAAGACCGGCGAATGGAGAGGAAATAGTTTTCAGTTCTACCAGGAAAAGTGATTTAGTCTTTTCATCAAGCAAATAATCTGAACGATGCAGACCCAATTGTATTTCCTATTAAAATTAGGGCACAAGAAAAATAATATCTGTAAATCCCTCATACTCCTTTCTTGAAGAAAAAAGAGTAAAGATAATAATCTACATGTAAGATTTTTGTTTTCTATAAAAAACATACATTGGTTGGAATTTCTAAAACAATTCCACTTTATCTCCCGGTTAGAATAAGGAGTTCCTCTTGAATAAATTTTACAACAAAAACAAATAAATAAAATAAACACAGATATGCTGGTGCTGCATTACAAATGTAGCACTGCACTAATAATAGACGCTTACCTCTTTTTTATTAATCTGTAGCATCTTGGAATGAATATCCAAAAGCCTAGAGGTGAATTCATCCAATTTCTTAGATCTGCATTTAGAAATAGAGAGATATAATGAAAAGCATAAGAAAAAGAAATGAAATGAAAGATGAAAAAAAGAGTAGAGGAGAGCGCACTTGGAGAATGATTCGTGAAGAAACGTTGCATCGGAGCTGACACGATGAACAAGGTGATTGATAATAGGAGCCAAGTCAGAGGCTTCTCTCCACTCCTTTTCTGGAAAGCGTGCTGGCAACAATGCAAACGGTGCATGCGCCAATCCTATGCCGGGATAGAATCCCGAAGCCTGCAATGAATCGGAATTACATTACAGTGGCCAATTGAATTTAGAAAGAAGAACAAGAGTGAGTGAGTGTGAGAGTGACCTGATAGCTTTTGTCGGCAACAACGAGGCCGTGGAAACAGCTCCAAACGACTGAGTCTTTAGCGATTCTGTCAACGAGTTTTCTATCCACATCCATGTACTCCAACTCACCTTCACTTTCACCTTCAGACATGCTGAATTTGAGACAACACAGATTCTGAGACAGACAAACCATTTATAAGAGATTTCAATTTCCTTATTTTGGTTCTGCCTCCATACCACTTTCAATCCGCGTAAAACACGTCAAAACAAGAAGTAAATATTACTTGATTCTCCATCAAATTAATGTGCTTGAAAACGTGGATCAATATCAATCATCAACTTCAATTCTTTTACACATATTTAATTAATTAATTAATAACAGAATCGTAATTTTATGAAATTAACTTTAAAATTAATTATTCTTGATATAAATGATTCAACATAATAATCATTTTCTAAAAAAAATACTTTTAAGAATGTAAATAAAAATTAATAATTAACACTATATTGAATAATTAACATGATACTTATTTTAGATCTTTCATTTTTTTTAAAACAAGACACTCATTCTAGGACGGAAGGAATATAATATATTATAAATAAATAAATTATATTACAATTATTAAAATTAATATATTAATATTTAGAAACAACATCAAAAGAAAAATATTAAATGTTTTTTGCGAATGTATAAGCAAATCATATTTTTTAAAAAAGAAAAAAGCAGAGAATTAAATAAATTACAAAGTGGGAATGAAATTAAATGTAATAAAAAAAATACTGTTCACATAAATTAAAGAAGTTATTAAATTCATTAAAATTCAGCATGTAGTTTTTTTTGGGTGCACATGGTTTTGTATACCATCAATGTTATAAGGGCCATCATTAATTGGATGCACTGGATGTAAATTTGAGAACCATCATTGAGATCAACGAGTCATTTGGAGTAGAGAATGATAATATTGGATAGAATATAGCCATTTCTGATATAGAAAAACTCGTGTTGACGAGTATAGGATTGAAAGGAAGGAAGAAAAGAAGGAAAAAATAATGTTTCTGATATTGTTGTTTTTATTTGTGAATTGTGATTTAATGTGTTGTATATGAAAATCCTAATTATTTATTAGGGGAAAAAAGTTAATTTTGTAGCTAGGAAAAGGAATGAAAGAGGATTTATTACTATTGAATAGGATGTGTTGATATATTCGAAGCTTGATATTAACGTATATAATATTTTTATAATTATTTGTTAATTTGAATCAATAAAATAAAATATTAAATAATTTTAAATTTTTTAAAAAATTTATAAACTTGATTTATATGTTTAAAAATTTAATTTCAACAGTTATATTGTTAAAATTTGATGTTAAACATGTGTTATTAAACGAAGTAATTTTAGATATACTTACTTATATATATATATTAAAATTCAATAGAATTTTGTTATAATTCATTTGTATATGTGATTCTTAAAAGAAGATAATATATAATATATTTTTAAAATTGATTTGAAACAGGATTAAAATTAAATAATAATTTTAACAATTTAATCGTTATGAAATAATATGTAAAGATAAAAATGAAAAGTAAGTTTAAATTATAGTTTTAATTAAATGTAATGATAAGGTTAACTTTAAAGCCACCCAACATGTAAAATGAAGAAATTATTCAATTATAACGTTTTCTATATTTAATGCAGGTTGAAAATATTAAATAATAAACATAAATATTTGTAAGTTTTAATACAAAATTAATCTTTTTATTGATTATAATTAAAATAATATTTGTTTATGTAATAAAATTCTATGATTATTTTATTGATTATAATTAAATTTTATATTAGAATTGTAATTAATAATTAATGTTATATATTAATTTTTATTATTATTTTAAAATATAATTACTTATGCATTTATATTTTTTTAAAAAAATTAGTGTATAGTAACTATTTCTAAGTAATTAAACCTTTCATATTCAGTCTACCACTGTCTAATTTAAATACATTAATTTAACCCATGGTTTTACACATTAATTTATGAATATTATATAATTGTTATTTTCTATTATTATTATTATAAAGTAATGTATAAAAATATTTTTGAAAAATAAAAAATACATGAAATTAATAATTAATTTTTTTAACATATTATTTTATAAAATATGCCAAAGTAATTTATTCGTGAGAAGGAGAAAAGGGAAGCCACCTTCTAAAAAAACTAAAATCAACATGCATTGCATGCATCCAAAAGCATTTCACACACTTAGAAAGCTTTCTTTATCCAAGGAGGATTATTCAAAAATAAATAAATAAAAATCTTGCATGAATAAGCATCCAGCATTTTTTTTATTTTCTTGCATCTTGACAAAAGAGCAAAACAACGACATGAGAAAAAGGCAAGCTTCGTAAATGTTGAAAAAGCTGAAGCATTTTAAAAAAA